ATCTTATAAGGAATGTCGAAGTGCATTTACCCTTTAAATGGAAATATATAAAAATAACCTCTGATCTACCTTACTGTCAAGTGATCCGGAAGGATGGTCAAATACGAACCAGAATGGATCTTCGATATCTTCAAATTTAATTTATATTCTCAATTTTAGCGCTCCATTTTTCTTGTTGACCTTTGCATACCTAATTAGAACATTCAAACTGAATTTCTTTCGGGAATTTGTCTTTTAAGGCTAGATATAGAATTTTTATTCTCCTTATCCATCCTCAATGTTCGTCCGACCTATACATAAGAAAAACGACCATCACTTTTGATTACCTAGTCATAAAATATGGATCGATTTCTACTGTTTGAAATATTCGAGACCGTCAAAACGTCAAATACTCAATAGTACGGACCCATTTTATTAGGAGCAAATTTCCTTTTTTTTATTTTTTCTTCCTCTCTTCTTACAGACACACAAACTCACATACATCAATAGCCCTCATCCTGAACACACGTGCATTTGCCATTTTTAATGATGAGATGCTGACCAGGAGGACAATAAAAACCACAACGTTGTGCTTGTCCTTGCTCAATAGCCGAGTGATCCTAGCCCTCTCCTGGTCCTACTCTTGTTCGAGCATGTGAGACGACAAGACCTTTAAAGGAAGGAAAATGTGGAGGAACTCATCAGTGCAGTTATACGTATTGTGACATCTTGAAAATTGTCCATTTGGGATTTATGAAATGCTTGATTTTATAAACGTACTCGTAGTTAGTTCTCGCCCGGAACTCATCATTCCTGGGATACTAACCATTAGGGAAAGGTTAATTAGGGATTTAAATTCGTGCGACTAAAGAAAATTCGATCGTGAATTGATTTTCGACCATAAAATCGTCGATGTGACATTTTGAACCACTGTAGGCCGATCCAAGGATAGCCAGGGGTTAGTTCGCCAATGTCATAGTAGTGGATCGCGGGTGATTCCGCTGGACCACGAAATGAATTAACGAATGATCCTGAACCTATACCAAACGATCGTGCCCCTCGGATCTAGCGATCGATCCTCGCGATTAAGTGACAATCGAAGTCATCACGAACCGAATGAACTTGCACGTGACTCGATTTATTATCAGTCACGGGTCGAATATGCGAATTTCCCTCAAAAGCCGCCCATTAGTTTGAGAAACACTCGAGTTACGTTAAATAAGATTCAATTATTTATTTGAGCCCAATTTGGACATCGGAAAATTAGGAAGTCACAACGGGGCGTTAGAACGACGTTGTAGTTGGAACGTGCAGCTTTGGATTTTCCCGAATCCTTCAGAAAAATTCAATTTCGGCAAGAAAAGAGGAAAGTGACCATTTTACCCCTAAGAATTTGTTAAGGGCAAGTTTTAAGAGGGAAGGGCATTTTGGTCATTTTGCCCTAACTTTGGAAAATGACAATTTTACCCTTGAACTTTTTGAGAAATCCCCAAATTGCCCTTGGATATTTTTGGGAAAGATTCGATCTTGGCCGTCGATTCCAAGATAACATCAAATCTCGGCCGTTGATTAAAAAGATTAGAGAGGGGCAAGATGGTAAATTGCCAAAGTTGGTCAAATTTGACTATTAAAGGATAAGACTCTCTCTCTCTCTCTCCTCATTCTCTCTCTCTCTCTCAAAACTCTCGGCTCCCTCCCCTCCCTCACCGTGAGCTCTCTCTCTCTCCCCTCTCCCGTGGCCGTGACTCACGGCAAGGAGGCCATCGCCGTCCGCGCCACCGCCGAGCCGCGCCGCCGCTCGCCGCCGTCCCCGCCGATCGCCGCCGTTTTCCACTCTAGCCGAGTTAGCCTAGAGTTTGGGTAAGTCGCCCCCTAAACCCTATTTAGGATATCGGGTATTAACGGACTAGTTTAGACACGGTTTAGTCGGTTTTAGGGGTTGATGGAAGTGATTATAGATGGATTAGAGGAGAGCTTGATCCCTTGTTGTGTTCATGGATGTTCATGTGGCTGTTGGATGTTAGTTTGGACATGGTGGAATGAGTTTTGGCGGTTGAAATTCGGTAGAAATCAATTAGGGTTTGAATCCTTGAGGTTTGGTGTGATTCTCGGATTCGCGGTTACTGTACCCGTCCGGTTTGCTATTTTTGTGGAGAATTGTGTGGGCCGAATTTGAGGAAGTTTTCTTCATGAAAGTTTCTCCCAACATCCTGAGGTATAATATATTTTAAATTTGGAATTTTTGGAGGCCATTTGGGTCGCACAAAAACCCATTTTCAGACCGTTTTAAAACTGCCCGGAACACTGTTCCTCCCGACCTTCTTGTCCGGTCGAATTTTTATAAAATTTTCCAGATCTATTTTCAATAAAATTCCTTCACAAAAGTTGTTGGTGACTTTCTTTTCTATGACATATAAAAATTTCAAAGCCTTTCAAGGTGATTTGGGTGTTGAAAGAAATGTATTTTGAGGACAAAACAGTCTGTTAGAGCGAACTGATTTTGGTCTGATTTCGAGGGACAAAAAGGCATGGTTACAGATTGAACCGGATTTCGTGTTCTTCATAAGAAATGTTTATCAAGATGTTTTTTATGATATATCCAAAATTTAGAATTTTTGGAGTTCGTTTACTATTTATTTTGATGGGATTTCGGTCACTGTGTAAACTGCCCAGATTTACCCCGATTCTATGGATGTTCATTTTTATGAGCGGAATGATGGGGCTGTCGAGGTTGAATAGTTGCTGCCCTCGTGACTGGAATTGATGCTTGAATGTGTGTTATATGAGTTGATTTGAGGATGAAATGAGGATGTTTCGGGGCTGGAGTGAGACTGAATAGAGTGCCGGACGTAGTGAGATGGAATTGACGAGCTTAGGGCTCGATTTAAGGACAAATGGTGTCGGTTTGGTGTGTGGTAGTGTGGCTGGATTGTGGTGTTTAATATGGTTGGAAATGACCTTGGGAATGCCGAAATTATGCTATGGTCTTGGCTGTGATTGTGGGCCCGTTAGCGGCCTTGTATGTTTGTTGAATTGTGACTTGATTGCTTGAAATGCTGGTCGTTATGTGCACGCTCGGGCCGAATTGAATTAATTGTCAATTGACCGTATTGAATGCTTATTGAGCATGAGAATCGGGTGTGAATTGATGCGTGCACGGGTCGCGTGTGATTGGCTAATTTAGTGGCAAGTGAATGTTGGGCTTGTGAATGAGTAAGAAATTGTGTGTGGTGTGGCATGCGTGATTGTGGAAATCCCTGGGGTGGTACCATTACATGGGGTAGGTTCCGTCCTGAGGCGTGTTCGTTTACGCGGGACGATGCCGTCCCTGACGAGGTGACGATGCCCGGCCCGACGGGGTGACGATGCCTAACGAGGTCAGAAGACCGTTAGCCTGATGCGTTTTACGCGGGTGCGGTAGAAAAGGAAAGTTGAGAATGTAGGATCCGTCCTGAGGCGTGTTCGTTTACACGGGACGATGCCGTCTCTGACGAGGTGACGATGCCCGGTCCGACGGGGTGACGATGCCTGACGAGGTCAGAAGACCGTTGGCCTGATGCGTTTTATGCGGGCGCGGTAGTGGTGGAAAAGTTGGGAATGAGCTGGACTTGGCTTGCCGTGTGAGGATTGCGAAAATTGGCGCATGGCGTGAGTTCGTGTGCGAGTGTGGTTGGTATCGCGTATTGTGGTGCTCGATTATGGGGTAAAAACTGCTAGGCATGGTATGAGACGTGCCCAAGTGGGTTTGGTCTTATAATCGAGGCACGCGTGCGGCTGTGATGCATTACTGTGGAATGTGGGTTGTATTGTTATCTAACATGCAGGGACGTGCATGATGGGTTTCAGGTAGGAGCGCATGTGTTGTGAGTATGATTGAACGTTGTGTGTTATGTGTGTTTCGTCTGGCGGTACGTGATAGCCTAGGTGGGGTTTAGGGTGTGTGCTTATTGAGATGTGATCTCATGGTTGTTTCAACCAACAATTTCAGAACCCCGGCCTGAGCAATGAATCTTCCTCCGCCGCCGTAGCGTTTGGGATACCGATGTACACCGATCATAACGTGGTAGAGTACCCAACAGACGAGCAAAGGTTCAGAGGGATTCAGACTTAGATTCTGGGGAGACGGAATCGGAGTGGACGCCGTCTAGCGGGCGTCAGGGATAGTTTTAGGGTCATAGTAACTCTTTTGGAATGTTCCATTTTTGGAAGATAGGGTATTCAGACTATCGATCCTTTTGATGTCGGTGGTTTATAGTACGATGTGCATATGTATACGGCGGTTGTAAATTGTGAATATTATATAAGTTTGATAATGAGAAATGAATATGTGCATTCTCCCTGATTACCCCAGTTTTAATTGTCCGGGTATTTGTGGTTTCCGCTGATCGTTTTAAATCTCTGATAAAATGAAATTTGGTCGGCGATACCCTATGATGTCGCATTAATCGACCAGGGAAGTGTGTTGCGCGCTCGATGGGATTCGGGGCGTGACACGTATAGAAATGATATTAGTAAGGGTTAACACCACGAAAAATCTCAAATTGGTACATCTGTGACAAATTTACCCCATACTATTTTTTTTTACTACAAAAACCCTAAACTGGTACACTTGTGACAAATTTATCCCCAACTAATTTTTTGACCACAAAAAACCCCAAACTGGTACACCTGTGACAAATTTGCATATTTAGGCTCCGTTTTGTTTTGTGAAAAATGAAAGATCCAAGAAACATTTTCTCAAAAATACTCGCTTGTGCCGCTTACAAAAATGACTATAGGAAAAAGAAAATTTTTCACCGATTACGAAAATGCTTCTACACAAATTACTATGATAGTGAAAATATTTTCTATTGACTAATTATTTCAAGTAATACAAGCAATCGTTCTCAAAAAAATAATTTATAATTTTTTTTATTTAGCGAAACAGATAGAGCTCATAATAAAAAAATAGAGAAAAAATTGTAAGCTCTTAACACGGCGGACAGATTGTGTCCCGTGAGACAGGAAACCATAGATAAATGTCACGTGTGCGAACCTGAAAATTTGGATTCCACCGCAACCGAAACTCCCCAAGCAGCAGCAAGACTCGAGGCTGGAGAGAGAGAGAGAGATGCAGCTTCTACAATGCCTCTCGCCTGGTTCTGCCAACGTCACTTCTCCTTTCCTCGCGAGCAAGGTAAAGCTGCTTCTTCTTCTTCTTCGTCCTTCCCCCGCTTTGCTTGTCACCTCTGCAAACTCACGCCATGTGTTTGCCTGGCAGTGCAGCGTGGTCGCCGGAGGAATGCAGGGAGGAGGAGGGCCAGGAAGAGACAAGGACGGAGCTCCCTGGGACCTCAAGCGGGCTGGTTTCCTTGTCGCCGCCGTTGCTCCGGCTCTGGTCGCCGTGCTTGTCGCCTTGTCTCATCTCTGTCTCGCTCCAGGTGCGCCGCTTTCCTCATTCCTTGACTTGGCTGCAGCTCGTTGCCTTTGCATCTCTGTGTGTGGAATGGTGTGGTCTTGTCGAATGTGTTTTGAGTTTCGTGTGGAATTTGTTGGGGTAGATGGTGTGTTCTGGTTCTATCTGTTAGATTACGTTAGTTGACAGGTCATTTCATCAAAAAGTTTGCGAGCAACATGCACTTCCCCATTCTTCACATGACCATCAATCATGGTATTCCAGCTAACCAAATGCAACACAGCGCATCAAACGCCAAGCGTGCACTCCTGGCTTTTCGAAAAACCGAATACTTGTGAATCAACGCATTCCTCAAGAATGATTCTAACCCAAACCCAAGTTTTAACACCCTGTCATGAACCTTCTCTTCTTCAGTTAATGACCCAATCGCCACAAACCCTTCACAACAATAAAAAACGTATAGTGATTTGGGGCAACATCGTTCCCCACCATCTCGTCATAATAAAATCTCAAAGCACCACTCGCACCATTGGTGTTGACATAAGTTCGCATACTAGTATTGCACAGAAAAGCAACGGACTCTTGGCTACACTTGAAGAACGAAGCCGCAGGAGCAACTTCATGCAAAGAACAGAGCTTCTTCACAGCTCGGCTTGTGGCAAGAGAGTGTTGAGAAAGACGAGCAACAATTAGCTGAGCATGGACTACTCGACTCCAATCTGCGCATAATCGGACGGGCTAACGTCAACACGTCAACTTCTTCATCGTTTACGGTTAAAATTCGCCGCTTGACATCGGGAGGCCAGAGCCTCGGTGTGGGTATGGAGAGGTATGTCTAGGATTTGATGAATTTGTTGAGAGATAGCTATAGGGATGAGAATCTGGTGTTTGGTGTGAGTTTATGGGCAATGCCCAATATCGTTCCTGGCTTGCGTTTGGTTTTTCCGGGAAGCTTTGTGCTTCCGATATCTGAAGTTTTAGAGCTCAGACCGTGCTATAACGTCATGCCCTTGGCTAGTGCTCGAGAGTGCTAGAGTGGCAGAGATTCTTGTATGCACGACTATTTTTGCAAAGGTTTTTTTTGCCATAATTCGGCATCTTATACAAAATGTCGAAGTGCATTTACCCTTTATTTATGGATCTCTCATCAGGATACAGATTTTGTATTAATAGGTTATAATCTATTTTCAATGGAAATATATAAAAATAAGCTCTAATCTACCCTTAATGTCGAGTGATCCGAAAGAAATACGAACAAGAATGGATCTTCGATATCTTCAAATTTCCCTTTATATCCTCAATTTCAGCACTGCATTTTTCTTGTCAACCTTTGTGTACCTAATTGGAATATTCAAACTGAATTTCTTTGGGGACTTTGTCTTTTAAGGCGAGATATAGATTTTTTTATTCTCCTTATCCATACTCAATGTTCGTCCAACCAATACATAAGAAAAACGACCATCACTTTTGATTACCTAGTCATAAAATATCGATCGATTTAGACCATTTAAAATATTCAAGACTGTCAAAACGTCAAATACTCAATAGTACGAACCCATTTTATTAAGAACAAAATTCCCTTTTATACTTTTGCTTCCTCTCTTCTTACAGACGCACAAACTCACACACATCAATGGCCCTGATCCGGAACACATGTGCATTTGCCATTTTTAATGATGAGATGCTGATCAGGAGGACAATAAAAACCACAACGTTTTGCTGGTCCTTGCTCCATAGTCGAGTGATCCCAACCCTCTCCTGGTCCTACTCTTGTTCGAGCATGTGAGACGACAAAACCTTTAAAGGAAGGAAAATGTGGAGGATCTCATTGGTCCAGTTCTGCATATAGAAATGATGATAGTAATTGAGAGATGAGAAGAAACCTACTAGATGCAATCATCAATAAAAAGACCATTGTGCTGAGCTTGGCTTGACCCTTCTCCATTTCCAAGTATATTGGCTTGATTGATTGTCTGAGGTATGATTGTGAAAGATATGTGTTTATGTGTCCCATTGAAGTGGGTTTATATAGATGTTTACCGGGTGTTCTTTCTGTGTTAACTTTATTTCGCGGATCTCCATTGACATGCTCATTTGATTTACAAGATAAGACAATAAGTATTCGTGGTATACAATTGAATAATTTGAGATTTTCTTACTATAATTTGAGGATTGAGGATTGAGGATGAATTTACTTTTTTTTTTGCAAAAGAAATTATTAGCCTACTAATAAAACTTAATCTAATTTGATCTCCTATCAACGAAGGAAGTAAATCTATCGGTGGCCTATCTAATGCTAGAGTGTCATTCACATCATATGATCAAACTATCCAATTTGCTAATAAATCTACACTTGAGTTTCCTTCCTTGAAAATATGTACGACTTTGACCCGTTTGAAATACTCTAACATTTTCCTAATCTGAGAAATGAGAATGTCACAAAAATTAAGAGAGGGAGTTTCTTTTCAAAGAAGGGAAAGCCGCTTGTGAGTCCATCTACAAAATAGATTTGCGAATGCCTAACAAGATGGCCATTTTCATACTCAAATATATGCCCCAAAGTTTTGCTCTGAGTAAAGAGTAGAGTCCTACAGTTTGCACGAACTCAACAAGCAAATTGCTTGATTCATTTCGAAGAAGCCCACCTGTTGAACCTGGACTCAGGTTGCCTTTAGAGGTCAGGTTCGTATTGAGTTTGATCCATCCAGAAGGAGGGATGGTCTAACCCACAAACATATCCCGTTTCTCCTTCTAAAAAGGCTATGTTTTTAGTCATACGAGCTGAAAGAATGTCCATAACATATCTCAAATTCAGGCCCACAAGTGCACCAAGAATAGAAAAATCCATCCGAAATAATCTCTTGTTTCTCAACTTCCGTAAATGCAGACAACTTACACAAAAAACTAGTGGCCAGTCAGCTTCTTTCAGCAGAGTTTTTGAAGTAGATAGGTTTGCTAGCAATCACTTGTGCAGATTACGGGCAAAGAATTCGCCCCTTAAGCTTACTAGCAAATCTTTAGCCAGATGGCTTTTGCATACTTACAATCCTGAAGCACGTGTAAAATTGTTTAAGAGGATTGCGAATAAGAAGTGCAAAAGGAATCTGCAGTGACTTTACGTTGAACCTTTTGTAATCAATAAGTAAGCGATGATGAGAAACTAGCCACAACAAATTTCTAATCCTTTGCGCCTCATCCCATTGCCACGATAAAGTCCAGCGTTTATCTTTAGATAAATGATGTCTCGATGAAATCAATTCGTAAGCTTCTTTTACGGTGGATGAACTGCTGCTATTGCTGCCCAGACTAGCAGTACCTAGAGCACGACTCTCAAGAACTTAAGAGACACGACTTGAGACAAGTCTTCCTGAAGACAGAGAACCCCCACTCACGAACTGAGGAGACGTCTATTAAAGGACGTCTATTAAAGCTGCTTCTGAAATGTGAAAGGACATGAGTTAAAGAGTCATGTCGGTCATGCTCACCTTTGTTGAGCCCTCAATCCATAATGACAATAATTAACCCATAATTGCAACAATTAAGACATGATCCGAAGACACATAATTATTATATATGAATTGAAGAGATGCGAATGAAAAGACGTCACATTAATGTTGAGCTATTAATATATTATAATTACAATGATCCGTACTTCTGATTTTTGAAATTTTAGAGCTCAGATCTTGCTATAATGTCATGCACTTGGCGAGTGCTCGAGAGTGTAGTGGCTGGGGTAGAGATTCGTTATATGCATGACCATTTTACCAAAGTTTTCTACCTTAATTCAACATCTTATAAGGAATGTCAAGCGCATTTACTCATGTGGATACAAATTTTATATAAATAGTTAATAACTTATTTTAAATGGAAATATGTAAAATCAGCTTTTTGACATTTATTGGATGAGTTTTCATGTATTCGTAATAAGTTAATACGAAAATTTCGAATAAGGGTATAAAGTGATGCCATTTTCTCCAAAAAATGACCGAAAGGAGACATTGACTTAAATATGAACATGAAGTGGCCAATTTAATTTCAAATAAGGACCTTGCCTCACTGGCTACCCAAATATTATCCGCGGCCAAGGGTGTTTCGTTTTCTTTCTTCTTTTTTCTTTCTTCATATTCCTCACGCTCCTTCGCAACATCACCTCCATCTTCAAAACATCTTCAGGCTCTCTCTACCATCTCGTCGTATGAAAATAACCTGCTTTTTGTTAGAAGCAAGTCATTACAGCACAACCTAGCTTGTTGAAGAATCTAAGTTTCACTCATCGAAATGGTTTAGACGATTCCACGAAGCCAAAAAAGGTTAGCTTACAAATACATGATTACTTTTTCTCATCATTCACGCAAATTCCAGTCCGATTTAAGCGTCTTCTTGAGGTACTCCACAAACCCTTCACAACAATAAGAAACGTGTGGTGATTTGGTGCAACATCGTTCCCCACCATCTCGTCATAATAAAGTCTCATAGCACCACGCAAGAGATTGTTGAGAGAGACGAGCGACAACTAGCTAAGCATGGACTTGGTTGAATTCTCTGATGCCATTACTGGACTCCAATCTGCACAGAATCGGATGGGCTAACGTCAACACGTCAACTTCTTCGTCGTTTACGGTTAAAATTCGTCGCTTGGCATCGGAAGGCCAGAGCCTCGGTGTGGGTATGGAGAGGTTTTTCCAGGATTTGATGAATTTGTCGAGAGATAGGGATGAGAATCTAATGTTTGGTGTAAGTTTATGGGCAATGCACAATATCGTCGCTGGCTTGCGTTAGGTTTTTCCGGGAAGCTTTGTGCTTCCAATATTCGAAGTTTTAGAGCTCAGATCGTGTCATAACGTCATGCACTTAGCCGGTGCTCAAGAGTGCTGGAGTGGCTGGGGGCAGAGATTCTTATATGCACGACCATTTTTGCAAAGCATTTTTTTAACCTTAATTCGACATCTTATAAGGAATGTCATAGTGCATTTACCCTTTATTTATGGATCTCTTGTGAGGATACAGATTTTATATAGGTAATAGGTTATAATATATTTTGAAGGGTTAATATCATGAAAAACTCCAAATTGGTACATGTGTGATAAATTTATCCCAAACTAATTTTTTTACACCAAAAACTCTAAACTAGTACACCTGTGACAATTTTACCCTATGTTAGTTTCCATTAAATTTTACCATCAAATTTCTGAGCTAGATGACACGTGGCAGTTGATGGGTGTATTAGTTTGAGGTTTTACCCTCTGTTTGTCACAGGTGCATCTATTTGTAATTTTTCATGATATTAATGCAATTTAACGAAGAGTAAATTTGTTACAAATGTACATATTTAGGGCTCTTGATAGTCAAAAAAATTAGTTTGAAGTAAATTTGTTACAGGAGTATGATTTTGGATTTTTGATGATCAAAAAATTAATTGGGATAAATTTATCATAGGTGTACCGGTTTAGGTTTTTTATGTTATTAACCTTATTTTAAATGAAAATGTGTAAAAATAAGCTTTAATCTACCTTAATGTTGAGTGATCCGAAAGGGTGGTCAAATACGAACCAGAATGGATCTTTGATATCTTCAAATTTCCCCTTATATCCTCGATTTCTGCACTTAATTTTTCTTGTCAACATTTGCATACCTAATTAGAATATTCAAACTGAATTTCTTTCGGGACTTTGTCTTTTAAGGCCAGATATAGAAATTTTTAGCCTCCTTATCCATCCTCAATGTTTGTCTGACCTATACATAAGGAAAACAACCATCACTTTTGATTACATAGTTATAAAATACTAGGATGCAATCAATCGATTTTGACCATTTGAAATATTTGTGACCATCAAAACGTCAAATACTCAATAGTACGAACTCATTTTATTAGGAGCAAAATGCCTTTTTTTTTAAAATTTTTTCTTCGTCTCCTCTTCCAGATGCACAAACTCACATACATCAATGGCCCTCATCCGGAACACATGTGCAGTTGCCATCTTTAATGATGAGATGCTGATTAGGAAGACAGTAAAAACCACAGCGTTGTGCTGGTCCTTGTTGAATAGCCGAGTGATCCAACAAGAACTTTAAAGGAAGGAAAATGCGGAGGAACTCATGAGTGCAGTTGTTCGTATAGAAATGATAATAGTAACTAAGCCATGAGAAGAAACCAGCTAGATGTAGTCACCAATAGAAAGACCATTGCGCTGAGCTTGGCTTAACCCTTCTCCATTTCCAAGTATATTGGCTCAATTGATTGTCGGAGGTATGATTGTGAAAGATATGTGTTTATGTGTCCCATTGAAGTGGGTTTATATAGATGTCTAAAGTTCGGTATTTTTGGAGTTTGAGTAAACGCGAGTTAAAAAAATAAATAGTAATCGACTTGCAATATATTCATATTCAGCTGCTGATATGTTTACCGTGTGTTCTTTCTGTGTTAACTTACTTTCACGGGTCTACATTGAAATGCACATTTGCTTTACTAGATAAGACAATAATTAAGTACTTACAGTATACAATTGGATAATTTGAGATTTTCTTACTATAATTTGAGGATTTCTCGGAGTTAATGGGATGATTTTACTTTTTTTTTGGGCAAGAAATGATTAGCTTATTAATAAAACTTAATCTAACCTGATCTCCTCTTAGCAAAGGAAGTAAATTTATCGGTAGCCTATCTAATGCTAGAGTGTCATTTACATCATATGATCGAAATATCCAATTTGCTAATAAATCCGCACATGAGTTTCCTTCCCTAAACAAATGTACGATTTTGACCCCGTTTGAAATACTCTAACATTTTCCTAATCTGAGAAATGAGAATGTCACAAAAATTAAGAGAGGGAATTGCTTTTCAATAAGGGAAATAGTCGCTTGTGAGTCCACCTACAAAATAAATTTGCAAATGCCTAACGAGATGGCCATTTTGAGATCCAAATTTATGCCCCAAAGTTCTGCTTCAAGCAAAGAGCAAACTCCTACAGTTTGTGCGAACTCAACAAGCAAATTGCCTGATTCATTTTGAAGAAACCCACCTATTAAACCTGGACTCGGGTTGCCTTTAGAGGTCCGGTTAGGATTGAGTTCCATCCGGCCAGAAGGAGGGATGTCTAACCCACAAACATATCCCGTTTCTCCTTCTAAAAAGGTTATGTTTTTAGTCATACGAGCCGCAAGAATGTTCATAACATATCCCAAAATCAGGCCCACAAGTGCACCAAGAATAGAAAAATCCATCCGAAATAATCTCTTGTTTCTCAACTTCCGTAAATGCAGACAACTTACACAAAAAAAACTAGTGCTTCTTTCACCAGAGTTGTTGAAGTGAAAGGTTTTTCAACAATCACTTGTGCAGATCAAGGGCAAAGAATTCGCCCCTTAAGCTTACTAGCGAAATCTTTAGCTAGATAGCTTTTGCATACTTACAATCCCTAAGCACATGTAAAGTTGTTTAAGAGGATTGCGAACAAGAAGTGCAAAACGAATCCACTGTGACTTTACGTTGAACCTTTCGTAATCAGTAAGTAGGCGATGGTGAGAAACTAGCCACAAGAAACTTCTTATCCTTTGCGCCCCATCCCATTTCCACTATAAAATCCAGCATTTCTCTTTAGGCAAATGATATCTCGGTGAAATCAATTCGTAAGCTTTTTTTACAGTGAATGAACTGCAGCTATTGCTATGCCCCAGACTAGCAATATCTAGAGCACAACCCTCAAGAGCATAGGAGCCACGACTTGAGACACGTCTTCTTGAGGACGGAGAACCCCTACACATGAACTGAAGAGACGTCTATTGCTAAATGTCTATTAAAGGTGCTGCCGAAACATGAAAGGACGTGAACTAAAGAGTCATGTCGGTTATGCTCACACTTTGTTGAGCCCTTATTCCACAATGGCAACAATTAACCCATAATTGCAAAAGTTAGGACATGATCCAAAGACACATAACGATTATACGTGAATTGAAGAGAAGTGAATGAAGAGGCGTCACACTAATGTTGAGCCATTAATAAACTATAATTACAACACTTTGTGTTTCCGATTTCTGAAGTTTTAGAGCTCAGATCTTGCTATAATGTCATGCACTTGGTCGGTGCTCGCGAGTGCAGTGGCTAGGGCCGAGATTCGTTATATGCATGACCATTTAAAAAAAAGGTTTTCTACCTTAATTCAACATCTTATAAGGCATGTCAAGTGCATTTACTCATGAGGATACAAATTTTATATAAATAGTTAATAACTTATTTTAAATGGAAATATGTAAAATCAGCTTTTCTAACCTTTATTGGATGAGTCTTCATGTACTTGTAATAAGTTAATGGGAAAATTCGAACAAGGGTATGAAGAGATGCCGTTTTCTCAAAAAAAGTAACCAAAACGGATGTTGTCTTAAATATGTTCATGAAGTGGCCAACTTGGACCTCAGCTCACCGCCCAAATGTTATCCACGGCCAGGGGCATTTCGTCCAAGGATATTTTCAACATTAATTTTCTTTTTGTTTCTTCTTTAACTCTTTCGTTTCGTTTCGTTTCGTTTCGTTTTCTTCTTTCTTTTTATTTCTTCATGTTCCTCACGTTCCTACGCTTTACATCACCTCCATCTTCAAAACATCATCAGGCTCTCTCTACCATCTCGACGTATGAACATAACCTGCTTTTCTCATAAGCAGGTCATTACGGCACAACCTAGCTTGTTGAAGAATCTAAGTTTCACTCATCGAAATGGTTCAGACGATTCCACTAAGCCAAAACAGGTTAGCTTATAAATACACAATTACTTTATCTCGTCATTCATGCAAATTCCAGTCCGATTTGAGCGTCTTCCTGAGGTACACCACGCGCTGCAAAGATGTTCAATGAAATGCCCAAATGACTGTATTTTTTTAACAGTATTTAATTACAGACTTCTTCCTTTCTGATGTGACGGTCGATTGTCTAGGACTTCAATATATCAAATTGCTTGATGCCAAAAGGTATTGAGCAAAGTAGGAATGGGCAAAGAAGACCGCTACTTTTGGAAGTAGATAGGCAAGCCGTTCCTAGCCATATACATGCTCATTAAGGTTGGGTCGCTCGACATTGAAACATCGCCCCTTAGGGGGTGGATGCTGAAGCCACGGCCGAAGGAAGAAAGCGAGCTAGCTCACTTGCACGAGCGGCAGCAATTTCCGCGCATGCGCAATAAAGCAATGGAAGATGATCAGCACGATCGGTGGGCCCAATGGATTTGCCGAAGCTAATAAAGATTCTTATAACTACCGGAAAGAGTTGCAGAATTAAAAAAATTCGAGCAAGAAGCTATAGTTTAGGAGAAAATTGTCCAAAAAATCGTAAATTTATCACACTTTTGCCAATTTAGTCCTAGGCCTTTCAATTTTACTAATTAAGTCCTAAACCTTTTCAAGTTTTGCCAATTGAGTCCATCCAGCAAATTTTAACCGAAAATCGCTGATGTAGACATTGACCGTCTGACAATGGTGTGGACGATTTTTATAATTTTTTTAAAAAAATTGTCCACGTCAACGCCGATTAGACAATGTGGCACTACCAGCATCTACATTAGCGATTTCCAGTTAAAATTAATTTGATGAACTCAATTGACAAATTGTCAAAAGATTTGGGACTTAATCGGCGAAATTGAAAGATTTATGACTGAGTTGCAAAAGTGCAATATGTTTAGGACTTTTTGGACAATTTTCCCTATGGTTTAGGATGAGGCATGAAGTCATTGCGGAGCTCCAAGAAAAATGAGATATGTTTTGAAGTAAAAAGCAGGGACAAAAACACCACAAGTGCTACAACTTTCGTATGACGCTCACTTGAGTACCAAAACTTCTTTTTTTATCACCTGAATGCCATAACTAATGTACAACGCTCACTTAAGTTCCATAACTATATATCCGATCACTTGAGTGTCATTTAGCTTTTCAATCGATTACTTGAGTGACATAACTTTTTAAAAACGTTCACCACAAGTGCCATGCCACGTCTAATTTTCCGGCACTTGGGTGAATATTTTTTAAAATTTTTGGCATTTAAGTAATTGATTGAAAGTTGTGACACTTAAGTGAATGTTTTTTTAGAAGTTATGACATTCAAGTAAGTGCCGTACGAAAGTTATGACACTTGTAATATCCTTATTCCGTAAAAAGCACTACAAGCAAATTGGTAGTGTTGAATTGCTGATAAATTTGGAGCACTCCTCGTTTGGCCTCCTATCTAGCTTTTAGCATCTATGCTTTGTTTGAAACCATTACTCTTAATAAAATTTCGTTGGTGTCATCTTGATCCTTATTTATCTGACCGTAGTATTGCCAATTGAGTTGAGGAAGTTTTTGAGTCATTATCAACTAGTAAACCCTGTGGAGGCAACCGTGAATCAGTGAACATCCACGGAAAAACAGTCTCCTCCTCACCCATACAGGGGTGACGAGACTCCTTCACCTTTGCAAATGCCGGTGCCTCCCTGTAGTAATCCCTACTTTGGAGATGCATCCGGACTCTCCTCATTCACGTCAATGTTAATATTTAAATTTTGACGACCCATTTGATTATTCATTGCATAGAAAAAGTAGGGATCAACCTTGACCCCTAAACAAAAAAATTATTATTTTCATCATGATATGAGAAGCATTTTCATAATAAATATTCAAAGACGTGAGGGGATATTGGGTGTGCCACTTTTTCGGGACTTCATCCTTTAAGACCAGATATCAAAAATTTTATTCGCTTATCCATCGTCAATCGTTTGTCTAAACTACACATGAGGAATATTGTCACGATTGACCCCTCAAGGGCCGCCTCGAAAGAGTGGGTTTAGAGGTAATTGTTGGAGTGATGTTCCAAATGGCACATCTCAAAAGGCGGCTCAAAAAGCGTCATCCTTAAGTTCATCCATAAAGTCTATCGATCTTGAACGTGAACTCTTCCTCAGTCCATACCTTGCATGTCACAGGATCGTTTTTATATTCTTTATCAACCTACATATATTTCTAGGAGTTGCCACTAGCATTTATTAGGGATTGGCTAGAATACCCAATCGAAATGTGGGAATTTCATTTTGATTTCTACGGAACTAGAGAGAGAAAATTACCAAAAAAGTCCTAAACCTTTTGCAATTGTGCCAATTCATTCCTAAACCTTTTTTTTTGCCAATTCAGTCCTAAACCTTTTGCAAACCAGCCAATTCAGTCCTTTTGGCCGGCTGGCGCTGACGTGACTGCCGGCTGGCTGACGTGGCGCCGGCTGGCGTCCACGTGGCAATATTTTAATATTTTTTTTATTACTTTCGAATTTTTTTCCTTTTTTCTTTTCCTTCTCCCCCCTGGCCTGTCTGGCCAGGGGGCAGGCTCGCTGGCGAGGGCCCAGCTCCGACGAGGCGAGCTGGGCCCTCGCCGCGGCTGGGCGAGCTCGCCCAACTCCGGCGAGGCGGAGTTCGCCATGGTTGGGCGAGCTCCGCCTCCGGAGCTCGCCCGGCCAAGGTGAGCTCCGCCTCGCTGGAGCTGGGCGAGCTCCGCCTCGCCAGATCTGGGCGAGGGCGGAGCTTGCCCAGCCATGGTGAGCTCCGCCTCGCCGGAGCTGGGCGAGGCTCGCCCAGCGGCGGCGAGGGCCCAACTCGCCATGGCTGGGCGAGCTCCGCCTTCGCCCAGATCTGGTGAGGCGGAGCTCCCCCTGCCATGGCGAGCTCCGTCTCGCCAGATCTGGGCGAGGGCGGAGCTCGCCCAGCCCATGGCGAGCTCACCCAGCTCCGGCGAGGCGGAGCTCGCCTTGGCTGGGCAAGGGCGGAGCTCGTCCAGCTCCTGCGAGGCGAAGCTCGCCTTGGTTGGGCGAGCTCCGCCCTCGCCCAGCGGCGGCGAGGGCCCAGCTCGCCTCGTCGGAGCTGGGCCCTCGCCGGCGAGCCTCCCCCCTGGTCGGCCAGGGGGGAGAAGGAAAAGAAATAAAAAAAGGAAAAAAATTCGAAAATAATAATAAAATATTAAAATATTACCACGTGGACGCCGGCCGGCGGCCACGTCAGCGCCGGCGGGCCAAAAGGATTGAATTGGCTGGTTTGCAAAAGGTTTATAACTGAATTGGCACAATTACAAAATGTTTAGGACTTTTTTGGTAATTTTCCCAAACTAGAGATGTCTAGGTATGGGGACATGCTTATGTTAATGTTTCCACTAACGTCCTTTAGGTATCACTAACTAGTTGGTTGTTTTCTAATATGGCCATGCAATTTTGAATTATCAATTTCATGACAAAATCCTAATCCCACTAGGTGATCATGTGACATGCTTGTGGGTTGGTTCGTTTGCAAATCTAAGCTAATCCTAAAAAAGGGAAATTAACAAGCAATTGTATTGAAAATGCAATGTGGTAAGTAAACATCCAATTAAGTTGAAAGACGAACCAATCTAAGTGTAATGAAGGAAAACCCACGACTCGTCAGCTATTTATTACAAAACTAACTGAAATCTGAGACATGGTCATGTATCGAATGGAATACAAAATGAGATAGGATTGGACATCGGTCTTTGGCCTCCCACTTCATGACCCTGGGCTGCCTCCTCCATGGACCACCTCGGTGGTATCGGTTTTTGATTGACTTTCCAATGTAGGCAAACAAGCAAGGCAAAACAATAATACCCAATCATCAAAGCAATGAACTGGCTTCGGGGTTAGCCTTTGCCTTTCATGCATTTTGATCATCTCCCATTCCTAATGACTAAGATTCATTAATTGATGGTTAATGATGATCGGCCACCAATTGCATTCATTAAACGATGGTCGATATCAATTGACTCCTAAAGTCGGTTCTAAACGTCCTCAACAGGCTACCCATCAAACAAGCATCACATTTAATCATTCATCTAGCAAACACACGTATAAGCAACAAATTAGGCATGCAATTAGGCCAAGTGGCCTTGTTTCTGAATCAATCACAACGAGGAAGTAAGCCTCGTGAGGATCACTTATTCAATTAAACTCCATATTTCAAGCAGATTCTGTTTAGACTCAATTGGCTTATCAAATGGAGTTCAATTAAGTCGATTCAAGAACCATTAGAAATTTTAAGATGTTAAGTTCAAAGTTCGTGAAGATCATTTCGACCGGTTCTAATCTGATTTACCTGAAAATTGTGAATTAAACCAGATACCCAAGACTTGACCAGTTTCCAGCCCATGATTTGAAAAAATGTGGGAAAAATATCAAATGAGGTAAAAAATACGTCAAATTTTACAGAGAGTTAGGACAGGGTGTCCTAAACAACTTTTGTATTTTAGTATTTTACTGAAAAGCCCCTGATTTTTTCTAGTAATTAAACTTTTACCCAGGACTCAATTGAAAACAGTTTTCAGGTCAGATGACCTTATCCGAAATTTCTGCCAAATGACCCCCTAAAAAGTTGCTATTAGGTCCTCCAATTTTCTAGTTTACAAATTAAGACCCTAATCAACAAATTTTTAGTTTTGATTTTATTGCAAAAAAGGACATGAATTTTACCAAAATTGCAAAACACGTTTGGATGCTCAAGACAATTTTCCAGATCTGAGTATGGAAATCAATCGGCATATTGATCAGACCCTTGAGCAACAAAACGAGTTACAATTTTGATAAAATTGATACCATTGGAAATATCAGACTCTTAATTAAAACTTTCATGAAGAAAACGTTGTGAAATTCCAAATGCAAAAAATCGTAAAAATCATAAAACAAGCAAAGGTCAATAGGAAAACAGTCATCACGGAATTGAAATCGTCTCTTTGAGCAAGGATTGTATTGATCAAATTATCATGGAATTTTATGAAATTTTTAGGATAGAAAGATCAAGATGTTTTCTGAAACTTTCATGAAGAAATATTTTCTAGATTATGAGCACAAAAAATCAAAAAAATCGTTGAACCAAATAAGGTTGATCAGGAATGAATCATCACAGAAGAGAGAATAAAATTTTCCAGATTCTGACCTCAAATCACGAGGACGATTTGACTTAATAAATGATGTTCGACTTCGACATGAAACCTACTAAATTGAAGCTGAGGATGTCTATTTTGATTCTCTAGTTGAACACTTTTCAAGATTTCAAGATTTCAACATTTCAAGGCTCAAATCATTAGACAAAGCTTATTAATTCAGTGAGCTCTGATTTTCCAGAACATGATAACAATCAACAATCAATCCACAAGCAATTGCCAAGCCATTTCTACACAACATATGTCATTCGATCATCATTCTAAGCCTACAACAACAATCTCAATATTAGCAATTGGCCTTCACAATTTCACATGCATATTTGGCCATGTCATTCATCCTACATTTCCTATACTAAATTTGGAGACTACTCACCTTATCAATAGACTTTTCAACGCTCAATCAAGCTAATTGGCCACCGTATTACTTCAAACGACTTCACGAATCAGCCAATGGAAGCTCGTCAAGTAGCTGAATCGAGGGAGCAAAAACTGAAGTTAGAAACCAACTTAATGAACTCCAATGAGTAATTGAAGAAAATCAACCTAATTGAAGAGCTCTTGCGGCTATTTCATCGGAAGCCAGCCACAACAACTTTGTGGATAAGATGAGGAACACAATTGCACAGCTTGGAGCACCGGAGGAAGGTCGCCCGTTGTTGGAACAGAGGCCGAAACCGTCAGGCAGCAGGACTGGCATGGGACATGGTCTTTGTGACCGGGAGAGAAATCAACTCAAATCGAGAGCTCTGGCAAAGGGCGGCCAAGCGGCGGTTGGCCAATGAGGGCGGTGGAGACACTTGGCTAAGAGAGAGAGAGAGAGAGAGAGAGAGAGTTTTATAATCCAAAATGACCTCCCATATTTTTTAGGGAAAATTTTTTATATACTTCTCTAAGTTTGAATTGTAGCCCTTGGATTAATCCAATGGCTCAAATTATTTGCTTATTGATTAAGCAAGCATTTCACTTGTCCATTTCATTTCACTTGGACTGATGACATGTCAAATTGGATAGCCAAGATCTAGGATATCTGCATGTCTAGGATTATTTGCTTAATTATTAAGAAAATACTCTAATTGGCCTAAATTCAATGACATGGATTGATGACAAGGCTTTAGGGGCTTTTTTGTAAACACCTAAGGGCATTTTAGTAATTTCATGCATATAGGAGAGGGCTGGTTGGTTAAGGCCTGATATGGCCGGCAATGGCCAAAATGAAGTCGTTCTCACCGAATAGGCTTTGTTATCGATCTGACCAGTTCAGGCTGGTTCAAACCGTTTCAGGCAAACAATTTTGTGCATTTTAGTCCAATTTACTCTCTGGAGGACCTAATTGCAAGGAATTCCTAACTAATTATCAAAGAAATGAGCCAAATTGGAAGAATACAACTCAAATCCAACCAATTCAACTGAATTAAACTCATTATGAACATCTCAATTAAATTAATTTGTTCCAATACATCATTGGTGATGTCAATTTCATCTCAACTGATTTACTTCATGCAAATTGGGGATTCTCTATCAATTGATGCAATTGTTTCAATTTTTCCCAATTGACAAAATTGATTTCAATTAAACTCAATTAACTTGAAAAGCAATCAATTGATTCATTTGAATGGGTTTAAAACACTCCAACATGCACAAATTGACTTTTACATAATGACTCGAATTAAACTTTAAAAGGAAATTGGTGCTTAATTGTCAAATTAAACCTCAATTTATCAAATTAACCCCTAGATTGGAATGGGTCAAGTTGAATTGCATCAATTGGACCAAGTTAACTTGATTTTGCAAGTCTTTGGTTAGCCAAATTGGTCAAATTGAACCAAATTCGTGTGAATTTGTAAAAAATGATGTTGAATTTGAGTTGCATAAAAATGAACTCATTCACGGTTAATTACACAACTTAGGAGGAACCGATCGAGACCACTAATTAGGGCTCAAATTGGGGATTTTTACCTTTGGCTTGGAATTCTAAAATTGAATTGCCAATTGGATGTGAAATGACCTCTAGATCAAATGTCATGAAGGAAGTTATCTTAAAAAACGACTAGAAAAAACGAAGTAATTTCATTTTTGGCCGATTTTGGAGAAAAGTTTGTTCTAAATCAATTTTTTTAAAATTGATGACGCCAAAATCAAATTAATGTAAAATGAGGTTGATTTTTAGATTTTGAATATTTTCAAATTTTTTAACAAAATGTTGACCAAAAGTCAAAAATAAGTTAGTAAAATGTCAATTAATGGGTCAAACTTTGATTTTTTCAAAAATTAACAATACAAAAGTGAAATTGACATTATCTTGGGCCTTTTCATGAAAAAAAGCCAAATTTTGACATAGGGTTGACTTTTCGGTCAAAATTTGACAAAAAAGTCAACTTGAAAGTCAACGCTTTGACTTTTTTAAGATTAAAGTGTAAATGAAAAGGAAATGAGGGGCTAATGTAAAAAAAAGTGTTAAATGACTCTTTTTAGTTGAGAAACGGGCTCTGTCGCAATCAGAAGCCCTAATTTTAGGTTTTTATTTTTATGACGCGTCGGCTAAAAATTAAGTGTCAATAAATACAGCCATCACTTATGATTACCTTCGATCGATCATTGAAAATATTTGAGACCATAAAAAGTCTAATACTCAATACTATGAACCCATCTTATTTAGAACGAAATTCCCTTTTTATTTTTGCTTCCTCTTCTCTCACATACGCCCAAAAGCTCACATACATCCATCAATGGTCTACATTTGGAACACATGCGCATTTTCCATTTACAAGTTCGAGATGCTGCCCAGGAAGACAACTTCCAATACAAACGTTTCCTGGTCCTTTCCGAATATGATCATCATCCAAGACATCATAGCTCCCTCCTGGTCCTACTCTTGTTTGAGCATTTGAGACGACAAGATCTTTAAAGGAAGGAAAATGCGGAGGAACTCGTTAGTAAAGCTGTACGTATAGAAATGATAATAGTAATTGAGAGATGAGAAGAAACCTACTGAATGCAATCACCAATAGAAAGACTATTGCGATGAGCTTGACTTGACCCTTCTCCATTTCCAAGTATATTTGGCTTGATTGATTGTCTGAGGTATGATTGTGAAAGATATGTGTTTATGTGTCCCATTGAAGTGGGTTTATATAGATGTCTAAAGTTCGGTATTTTTGGAGTTTGAGTAAACGCGAGATTAAAAATAAATAAATAGTAATTGACTTGCTACAAATTCACATTCAGCTACTGATATGTTTACTAAGTTTTTGAAATTCGTTACCTTTTTTTCGCGGATCTCCATCGAGATGCATTTTGCTTTACTAGGTAAGACAAAAAGTATTCGCGGTATACAATTGGATAATTCAAGATTTTGTTACCATAATTTGAGCATTTCTCGGAGTTAGGGAAAAGTGCCAAAAAAGTCCTAAACCTTTTGCATTAGTGCCAATTTAGTCCTAAACCTTTTTTTGGTGCCAATTCAGTCCTAAACCTTTTGCATTGGTGCCAATTTAGTCCTAAACCTTTTTGGTGCCAATTAAGTCCTAAACCTTTTAAATTGATGCCAATTCAGTCTAAACCTTTTATTTTTGTGCCAATTTAGTCCTTCGGTCAATTTTGATGAATTTGTTGGCGTGGGCCTGCCGGCCGGAGGCGTCACCGGCGCCCGGCGTGTGCGGCGGCGTGGACAAATTAAATAATATTTTAATATTTTTTGAATTTTTATTTTTTCCTTTTTTTCTTTTTTTTTCCACTTTTTGTTTTTGGTTTCTTCTTCATCGGCGGTCATTTGGACCGCGCCGGCCAACGAGGCCGGTGGCCGCGAGCTCGGCCTCGCCGGCCCCTTTGGGAGCGGCCTCGCCGGCGAGGCCGAGCCTCGCCATGGTCGGGCGAGGCTCGACCTCGCCGGATCAGCAAGGTCGAGCCTCGCCCGGCCGCCGGCGAGGCCCGACCTCGCCCGGATCCGGCGAGGTCGGGCCTCGCCCGACCATGGCGAGGCTCGAGCCCTCGCCGGAGGCTGCGGCGAGGGCGAGCCTCGCCCGAGCCATGGCGAGGCCCGACCTCGCCCGGAGGCCAGCGGCGAGGCGAGCCCGACCTCGCCGGATCTAGCGAGGTCGAGCGTCGACCTCGCCGGATCCGGCGAGGTCGGGCCTCGCCCGACCATGGCGAGGCTCGCCCTCGCCGCGGCCTCCGGCGAGGCTCGAGCCTTGCCTTGGTCGGGCGAGGCCCGACCTCGCCGGATTTGGCGAGGTCGAGCGTCGACCTCGCCGAGATCACGGCGAGGTCGGGCCTCGCCGACCATGGCGAGGCTCGCCCGACCATGGCGAGGCTCGCCCGACCATGGCGAGGCTCGCCCTCGCCGCGGCCTCCCGGCGGGCTCGAGCCTCGCCCGACCAAGGCGAGGCTCGCCCTCGCCGGCCTCGGCCTACGGCCGGTCGCCCGGACCGGCGGCCAGAGCCGAGTAAGGAGGAAGACAACCAAAAAAAAAGCGGAAAAAAAAAAAAAAAAAGGAAAAAAATAAAAATTCAAAAAAATATTTAAAAAATATTAAAGTTGTCACGTCGGCGCCACGTCGGCGCCGGACGGCCGCCCGGCCGGCAGCTCCACGTAGGAAATTCCGATCTAAATTGGCCGGAAGGACTAAATTGGCACAAACAAAAGGTTTAGGACTGAATTAACACCAATTAAAAGGTTTAGGACTTAATTGGCACCAAGGTTTAGGACTAAATTGGCACCAATGCAAAAGGTTTAGAACAATTGGCACCAAAAAGGTTTAGGACTAAATTGACACTAATGCAAAAGGTTTAGGACTTTTTTGGCACTTTTCCCCTCGGAGTTAATGTGATGAATTTACTTTTTTTTTGTGTTAGAAATGATTAACCTACTAATAAAACTTAATCATATTTGATGCCCCATCAGCAAAGGAAGTACATCTCTCTGTGGCCTATCTAACACTAAGTGTTATTTACATCAAATGATTAAACTTTCCAATTTCCTAAGCAATTGACACACGAGTTTCTTTCCCTAAAAGTACATACGATTTTGACCCGATTGAGTTGAGGAAGTTTCTGAGTTACTATCAACTAGTAAACCCTGTGGAGGCAACAGTGAATCAGTGAACATCCACAGAAAAAAACTCCCCTCCTCACCCATACTGGGAGTGACGAGATACTTTAGCAACGACTCACAGAGTTCGTCTTGAGCCTGTACTTCATCTATGATGTTTCGGGATCAGCAAATTGAACGATTTGTCCTGAGAAGATATGCTTCAGCAAGAAGTTGATAGCCAACATTACATTTAGACGATGTAACAAATTCAAAGATAAAGTATTATACTTTATCTTTGAATTTGTTACATCGTCTAAATGTAATGTTTACCATGTTAAATCTTGTTTTCAATAACGGAAATAGCTATAGCTAATACCATTTTCAGCATTTCTAATACTTTATCTTTGAATTTGTTACATCGTCTAAATGTAATGTTTACAATGTTAAATCTTGTTTTCAATAACGAACATTGCTATAGCTAATACCATTTTCAGCATTTCTAATACTTTATCTTTGAATTTATTACATCGTCTAAATGTAATGTTTACAATGTTAAATCTTGTTTTCAATAACGGACATCGCTATGGCTAATACCATTTTCAACAGCAACCGAACTATGACATTTGTACTTAACTTTGATCTTTTCCTTCGAGACAATGAATTGCAGGGAACAAGAGAGACAATAAACTGCACATAATCAGCTCAAGATTTACACATTTGAGAGAAAGTGCGGTTTGTCTCTGTTACGTTAACTTTAATGAATGAAGAATTGGTGACAGCTT